CTGGATGGGTTAGGAGGTAGCACTTGAGACCTGGGAGGATGCCTGTTCCCTTTGGACTGGATGGGTTAGGAGGTAGCAGTTGAGACCTGGGAGGACACCTGCTCCCTTTGGGCTGGATCAGTGAGGAGGTAACAATCCGACCAGCCAAGTTAGGGTCACTTTATACAACACTGAAAGTCGCCCATGTCCTGAGATGCAGGAGGGCCGAGGGGCTGCCCCAGGACAAGCAGATGAGGGAGATGGGCTGGCTGAGCACTGCGCACATGTTAGGTAACAACAGCTCATCTTATTGTGGCGGTGAATCGTGGTTGGCAGGAGGCTCTGGTGTGGAGAGCTGTGGTGTCCTGTCGGCGCTTATTCTGAGTGGGCAGGCCGAGGTAGGGGCAGGAGTGACAGAAATTGCGGCCAAAGGGAGACAGCGGGAGACCCAAGGGCTCATGGGTTTCTCAAAAATCACCTGCCCTTCCCAGAGTTGGGAAGTTCAGCTATAAAACTGTGGCAACAGAGGCAGCTTGGTCTCAGATGAGACAACCCCAGTGGGTCCTGGGGCCCACACAGCGCTTCCCAGACCCAAGTGAAGAGCCAGACCCTGGTTAGAGATACTTCGTGCTACAAATGTGGCAACACCTTTTTTTATTTAGAGTAAGATGTGTTAACATCCAGCATGACAAAATTTGTACAAAGTTCACAATTTAAAAATGAAGTATCACAGCAACTTGTGATTCCACACATTTATAGCAAAATTAAAGTGTCAACAAACCCATGCCGTGTAGTACAAAAATAAATCAAACTTCAGTTCCACAGAGAGCACAATAAATAGTTTATACAAAATTCTGTCTTAATAAATGATTACTTAAATTAACTTAGAAATGAATATGAACAATAAGTTATAATAAATAAACTCTGATGACTCACAATAATTCCATATGAAAGGTCAGCATTCTAATATGTGACACTTTTGTGATCCTTATATAATAGTCACAGATAACTTTTGATTTGATATTATGTACCAACGTTAGATGAGCAGCAGATTTGTGCTTAAAATCCCTTTCCATTGTACATAGGTGATAACAATAAGAATCCAAACTGATGCTATCTATTACTCTACTAAAAGCGTTACTATATTGGCAAAGAAGCCGCAGACACGACGCGGTGGGGAGATGCATATGCCGTTATGAACGATGGGGGCCCTAAACGGAGGCCGGGGCCCTGGACCACGTGGCGGCCCCAGGTAACTGCAAGCACCTTGCTTCAGCTCTCAAAAGGCAATTCTGAGCATGGCGGCTGCAACCCATAAATAGCACAACAGGAAGGGGCTGCACAGAGCAGGCGCCGAGCCCCGAGTAATTACATAATCTTTTCCCAGCTAGTTATTAAAGTTCTTGTGGAAAACTGTAAGCGTTTGTACAGTGAGCAGTATAAAGTGCCGCTGGGATATACATATATTTATACATATATATATACCGAGGTTGATATTGTATCAGAATATTTGTCGTGAGACCCCTGTAGTCCTCTCTGCCCAACATCACTGAGCAGCCGTGAGGGCCCCTCTTATAATCCACCCAGGTTCAGTGTCACAAGGCTACTGACACAAGGAATTGCACACCTCCGTACGGATATATAGGACAAGGTAAGTGCAAATAGTCGACTGGCACATTGTGGGGACAATGACCCTGTAAGTCCTGTTCTGCTAAAAATATTTTTTTTTATTTTTACAAAACCCATCTTTTTAATTTCATAACAAAATTTTAAAGTACTTTGTACTTCCTGCATAACATCAAGACATGGAAGGGAGAGATGCTATTAAATGTAAATCAAGTCAACATCAGGAAACACAACACGTCGTCAAAGGGCTACTCAGAAGGAGGACGCAGCAATCAAAAGTGGTCTTATGCATACAGATAGTGCAGTCATCGGGAGGAACACAATCAAATAGCAAGGGTATAAACAAGTCTAAGATGATCTAGTTTAAAGCAAAAAAGTGCTGAAGTATATTTAGTTACTTTTAAAATCTGATTGCATTCGTTCTTAGAATAGGTAACAAATAAATCAAATGACAAGGCTACACAAATGCTCTGTGGCCAACTGGTCTCCAGGGAGGGGCAGAGCACAAGCCACTGAGAGGACTCTGAGCAGGGCCCAGCGCTTGTCAGTCAGAGTCGGGGTGGGGGAGACTTTACTGAGCTGCTTTTTCACCAGATCCAGCAGAAAATTCAGTCCAGTAACTGGAATACTCACAAATCATTTGTTGTTAACCCCTCAAATAATAAGATTAATAACAATAATGATTTTTAAAAGTGAAAGGGGAAATAAATGCTCTTAAATTATCTTTTAGCTTAAGTTGAAAACACACAGATTCTGTTAGGTATGCTACGTTGCGGTGACAGTTCAGAGGGGCACCAGACCCTAGGGGAGACATGAGAAGGCTGTTCCAAAGTTTATTGAAAATGGAAAAGGGGATCTTCGTGTTGTCCACCTCTGACAAGCTCCTGTCTGAACTGGAGTTTCCATAGTCACACCATGTAATGTTTAGAGTTAATTTAAAAGTGCTGTGTAAGCTGCTTTGAATCTTCTGCAAGTTCCCATGGCTTGATGCTGTCTTACAATTAGTTACTTATGTCACTCTTACAGCTAATCCATCTGCCATTTCCTTGGAATGCAAAAAACCTCAGTTATTGCCCCCACCATACACCATCCTCCTAAAACAAACAGACAAAAAAATCACATAATATTTCCAAGCATTGTTCAAAAATAAAGCATTTTTGCAACCAATTCTTGCTATGAAACAATATGCACACAGAATGTATTTCTTAAATTCCATGAAGTCCTCCAACACGAGGCAAAATGATGATGTCTAGGGGCGCAGCTCAGGGCCACGACATGATCATTCAAAGCTTTTTTTTTTTTTTCTTTTTTTGTCCATTTCAGTTCAAAATACTAAGACATTTAATCACTAAAGCATTAAAAAGAATTTACACTCTGTTTATTTTGATCAGCTCACCTCTGGAAATATATACGCCCCGAATGTGCGTACAGAGCAGCTATGGACATTACATGGCAGGGCACACTGTCAGCTCACATGGAAAACGTACGAAATGTGGATGTTTCCAAAAACTATTCTGCGGTACTATCTTTAAAGCAAGACATGAAATCATGATGAAGTCTTGTAAGCATAACACTGTTTCGAACAGAAATAAATATGTAACACTTTCTGGTAAGTCACAGCAGCAAAGGCAAGAGGCATCCTTTTAAGCCAGAGTTTCACCACTAGAGCAGCTGTTCAGACCTGAATTCCTCTCACAGCCTGCTTTATATTTTCCAGTAGGGCTTTATTTTCTGGACTCTGATAACGATCTTGATTTGTATACATTTCCGTCAAAGTAGTCACGTAAGCATCAAAATTTTGTTCATTGATTGGATCCTACGAGATATTAAATAGTAGTTCATATACAGCTTTATTTTCTTAATAGTATATTAAGCACAAAAGCATAAAATAGTATAATAGCATAGTGCCCCTGGGTTTACGAGGGTCAAAAGGCCTATTCGGAGCAGACTTAACCTCCTGGGATTAGCCCCACCAGTGGTCTAGCCGTTAACGCTACGGTTTTGGGGTGGTGACCGCACACATCCAAAGGTTGGAGAACCACGAAAATCACGGCACTGGGACACTCGTGTCACGGTGCGAGCTGTGGCGGTCTAGAGTGCCTTATCCTGCGCGCGGAGTCACTTACCATGTGTGGCAGCTGGATGTTGGCCAGGCTGTGGATCAGGGACTGGCTGAGGCTGGCCAGCTCGTGGAGCAGGGACTCGTTCTGCTGCTCGATCACTTTGTTCTCCTCCTCGATGGTCTTTAGGTTGCTCTCCATGGTGGTGATCTGCAAGCGAGGGCCGACATGTAACACGGGCAGGCAGGAGTGCGCATGCGTGGACATGTGACACGGGAAGGTGGGAGGAGCCTCACGTGGGCGGACACATGACGTGGGGAGGTGGGAGGAGCCTCACATGGGCGGACACATGACGTGGGGAGGTGGGAGGCGCCTCACATGGGCGGACCTGTAACACAGGCAGGCGGGAGCCCTCCTCGCACGGGCAGACGTGTGACATGGGGAGGTGGGAGCGTGTCTCACGCCGGTGTGACACGTGACACAGGCAGGTGGCAGCAGGCCTTCCTACTCATGCAAGCCTGGCAGCCTCAAAGTCAGGAATTTGTTGAATCATGGACCTGATCTCTAAGCTTTAATCCCATACATTTGAAAATTTAGTAACCATACATTTGAAAATTCAGTAACGGGAGTTCAGGTTTGGGTCGGGGGCTGTGCTGACTGTGACTCAGTTTTAAACCTGTTGTGTCTATAGCCACCTGGTGATGGTGCCTGTGCTGTCCCTCACCTCTCTGTGGGTTGGTGGGACAGCATTATCTATTTGGGTCAGGGCTTCACCGCTAACACTGACCCTAGCCTGACTCTAATTCTGCTGCAGGTAAGTCCTCAGCAAGGTGATTTCTTTGTGGGGATGTCCGGTCCTTCCAGTGGGGAATGGGGGGAGGTGTTCTTGTGCCTACCTGAGGGTCAGTGCACTCTGTCCTGAGAAGGCCTAGCACTGCCCCAGGTCTGCCCTTCCTTCCTCTCATTTCAGGAATAAGGTGAGTGTTTTCATCTTACATAAATCTCTCTTCCTACTTGGGTTCTCTTCTGAAGTCTAGACTCTTCTGAGGAGGCCGACATGTTTCCCATGTAGTGGAGTCGCCCCAAGTCCCTAGGGCTCATGCTGCACCCCCTTAGTGGGGGCATAAGAAGTGCGGCTCAAGTAGCTGTTGGCCCAGCCATTCACGGGGTTGGTGGTGGCCTCTGTGGCTCAGGGAAACTGAAGCTCTGAGCTGCAGCTGTGAGCCTGGCTAGTTTCAGGGGCAGCTGGAGATGGACCGTACTGCTGAACTCAGGCCACGCTCACGGCCGCCCCTCCCCTGAACTGTGCCCCTCTTTGGGCCTGAATTATTTGAATCTCCAACTTGCATAGGCTCAGCCCTGAGCATCTCACACACCCTTATCTGCTTGCTCGTGGTGCTGTCACACCTGCCCAGGTCTGGAGCCTGCAGTGCTGTCACCCAGCTTGGCCAGACCAGTCGGGAGTGACCATTCTTGCCCCAGTGAATCTCTTCAGAGACAGGCACAGTGCTCACGGCAAAAAGGCTCTGGCCATCCTGGGACCTCTGACCCTACCTCAAGGGCCCAAATGACACCCTTGGTGGCACAAAGTGGTGGTCACAAGATGCAGAGCATCTGATAAAGAGGCTGCAGGGCCAGCTCGTCCCAGCCCATCCTCAGCCCAGCATCATCAGGGGCAGGGCTGACCATGCAAAGCCTGTGGGGGCGAGTGTGGTCCCAGCTACGCCAGAGGCTGAGGCGAGAGGATGCCAGAGCCCAGGAGTTGGAGGCTGCAGTGAGCTGAGGCCACAGAGCAAGAGCCTGTCTCAACTCCCCCATGCCCTGTGAACAAGCCTAATCTAGAGCCTTCTAGGGCACCAGGTGTTCCCACAACACCCACGTCGGGAGAGTGTCTCTGACAAAGGCGACCCCCCCCCAAGTCTTCTCCTGCCATTCTTATCCTCAGGGAAGGGGCTGTGTCCCCTGCAGAACCTACCCAGAACATCCAGCTTCCTGTGGTGAAGGGAGGAACTTCCCTAGGAGGGTGTGTTCTGGCTTTGGGTTTTTAGAAATTTTATGAGGCTGCTGTGAGCAGCAGCAGCCAGGATCCTTCCAGAGAAGTTCCCATGAGAGCAGGAGGAGCCAGAGTCCCTGGGGCCATGCCCTCCCCTCCTCACACTTCTCAGGATGGCAGCTTCTGCCTGAACCTGGGGCTGTGATGGTCAAACCCCGCCCTGGGCCCAACACTGAGCGCAAACAAGGTGCTGAGAATGGCCTTCCAATCTTTCAGTTGTTAGGCAAAAACAAATCACATTTTGTAACACACAAAAGCTGTATTACATGCAAATTGCAGGACAGTATTGAGCTATGTTGGACAAACTGCCAGGTGTGTGTGCGGCTCTCATGATGTCAGAGTTGACATGGCAGAGGCTGCATGGCCCAGAAGCCCAAAAGACTTGTTGTCTGGCCCCTGGGAAATGTCTGCTGAGTCCTGGTCTAGACTTGCACTTGGGACAGTGTGATATATTTATACAGGATCTCCAGAAGATAAGAGAGGCAGGCAGGACGGTAGGGCCAGGTGCTGGGAGGGCATATGAGCTCAGGAACAGTGTCCTCATGGAGGGCACATGCCTGTATGGGGAGGAACAGATGCCATGTCCAGGATGTGGGTGTCTGGCCTACATGGAGAGCTCTAGGCCCAGTCTGGTGAGAGGTGCAGAAATGCTGTGGCCTGAGGCCGGATGCAAGGTGAACTTGCCTGGGAACGTCCATGCTGGTCCATTGGGTGATTTTCCATTACAATCTGGCCTGAAAACGCTAGTTCCCTGTCATAGTCTAACACTCCCTTCCCCACAGAACCACTCACTGACCTGGGTGCACAGACAGCTGCCCACCTGCCCCAGCCTCCTCCTCTGGCTCCTGCCGTGTCCAGTGCCAGGACTGTCCCCAGGTCTCACCAGCATCTTTGCCTGCAGGGACCCTTTGTCTCCAGGGGCCCTCTTAACAGCCCTAAGCAGGCTTCACTCAACATACATGGCCTGGAGCTACGACCCCTCCCCACCAGGCCCTGCTCTGTCTAATTTTAATCCGTGTTCCAGGCAGAGAGTGGCTATTCTCACCTTCCCGTCCTCACACCGCCTGCTGGTGTGAGCTGAGCTGGATCTCGTGGGATCCTGAGCCAAGGTTGGGGTGTGCCCCACCAGTGTCCCAGCACCCCAGCACCGAGAGGTGTGTGTGGCCCTGAGTCCAGTGAACTGGCTGGGGAGAGGTGGTCAGAGCCCCGTGGCCATTCTGCGGGAGCTGGACTCTCCTGGGGGCCGGGCAGCTGGGGCAGGCATCCAGCATCCTGATTCGAGCTGTGTAGGTCACAGGCCCAGCAACCGATCCTCCCATCCAGCTGCAGAGCAGAACAAACCTGGGTTTGTCAGGTCCACAGAAATTGCACTGGCTTCACTGAGTTTACCCTGAACTTAGCTTAAACACTTTCCAAACGGCCGACTGGTCTACTCAATTAAACCAGAATGTGTCTGTCCTAAGGCTGAGTTCCCACAACTGGGCAGTGAACAGAGCATCTTCTGTGCTAATAAGAGATGGCGACACCCCTTCCACAGAGGAGTGCGAGGGTCCTCACCCCACACACCTGAAGTTTAGAAATGCCTCACCCTGCCCAGGATGCTCCTTCTCCTGCGTGGCTCAGAGCACTGTCCTCCCTCTCTCTGCGTCTCCTTGGAACACCAGGCAACTGATGCACCTCAGAACCACCTCAGCACTAACCCCGCTGTCCCTGGCTCAGGCCCTGTGGACAGCTCGCAAGCAGGCTGTGGAGGGTGGGGTGCCCCCGGAGAGCTGTGCCCAGCTCTCCAGTCAGACAGCACAAAGGTGCACCCTGGTCTGGCTCTGTCCTCTTTTCTGCTTTGCTCCAGCAGGGAGTATGGGTGTGAGAGGTGCCAACCTAGACCCCTGTCAAGGAGAGAAGAGCCAAGGCTCAGGGGAGGGACAGAGGGCAGGGCTTCCTGGAGGGCTGGACCAGGGACGGCACCTTCCACTGCAAGACCCTGCACAGAGGATTCTGCACCCTCAGGGACTTCTCAGAAATGTGCAGTCCAAAGTGAGAAGTAAAGTAAGATCCTCAGGCTTTTCACCATCGTGCACAGAATGAAGCTCAAGGATGTACTGTTTGTCTGTCCTGATCAAACACACCCTTGTTGACTCAGCCAGCTCCTGCCCTGCGACCCTGAGCCCTCCACCAACAGTGCCACTCAGCTGTCACTTTGTCCCCCAGCCCCACCTTCATGGGTGTCATAAGGAAAACACCGATCTGTCTCAGGGGAGCTCTGGTCACATAGCCCAGGGGAGGATTGCACATTCCTGGGGGCTGTGGCCATAGGGACGGTGAGATGATGGCCTGATGCCCTCTGGGAGGAAGTGGCATGGGCATCTGGATAGACACATCCTTTGTGCCCATGGGGGCCCCTGACAATCCCTCTCAGTGATAGGGTGGGGCCACAGACCCTGAGGATGTCTACACCGTGTGGACCCCATGTCTCTCCGCAGAGCAGAGCCTCTGGAGACTGAGGCAGGGTGGTGAAACTGCCCACCTCCATGGACTGCCTGGGGGACAGCCCCATCCCCCTAGCCAGGAGCACTTCCCTGGCTTTTCTCTGGTCTTGTGTGACACTGAAGCTGGGTGAGGGTCCCTGATATCCCCCTAGGAACACTTGGACAGCTGGGGAGGGGCTGGTTTAGGTTCACGGGGGGTCAGGGTAGAGACCTCACTTCTAAGAGGACAGAAAGACATACAGGAGGGGGCCACTCTGCCAATAGCGAGGGGACCCCAGAGCAGCCGGGCACTGTGGCTGTGGCCAGCCTTGGGGGTCAGACGAGCTCTGGGTCGGCCTCGTGGCTGTTGCCTAGCTGGGGAATGCTCCTGTCTAAATCACAGATGCTGTGTGTGCAGAATGAGGCTGATGACATTTTCCTCATAGGGGGCATGGCGTCACTGGCTACCTGACAAAAGCTACCCTGTTGGGGACCTTGGGCCGTTCCTGGGGCTTCCTAGCCCAAGCTCTACAGCTGCTGTCCCAGGCCTGGGACTCTGAATGCGCAAGGGGAGCTTTCCAAAATCCCCAGACCTCAAATTTGAAGTTCTGGGAGCACGGGCTATTACTGTATTTAATATAATGGTCAAATACCATCAGGGACTAAAATGTCTGGGGAGGAAGGCTCTCATCTTTTGCAGGAACAGGTGAACTCTGGGTGACTAGTCACAAATGGTATTTCATTTGCACAGACGCAGACCAGGCCACGTGGTCACAGCAGACATTGCCATGGATGTCATTGCTGCAGAAGGCCAAGATCATCCAGCGGAAAACTGAAGGGAAAAAACCAGCAGAGGAAAGGGCGTGACGCTTCTCCTACACGCTGGTTTTATGCTGCACACCCTTGGTTCCATCCTGCAGCCAAGATGGAAAGATTGGAAAGATTCAGGGCTTCAAAAACTGTTACCTGAGTTCTGAGTTTAATCATATCAGCTTCCATCTGGGAATTGGATTCATTCAGCTCCTTGATCTCTTCATCTAACTGTTTGATCTCCTCATCGTTCTCTATACCTGTAATGACAAATTATTAGCATGTCAGAACTACTATGTGCAAAAAATTAGAATTACAATTTTAGGAGTTTCCTTTATTTTATATTTGTAATTGAATTTGCTTGAAAAATATACACTTGAATTTGAGAAAAAAAAAAAGGTCACAATTTGGGCCTGCCCCCTCCCTTCCTATGTCACCCGAGGAAAAGAAAAATCAATCAAGACACACAGGAGCCCCATTGCTGCCCAGGTGGGGCTCCTGGCGTAACCAACTGGGGCCTCAGGACTCTGCCCTACAGCCCTGGGCAGAAACCACCTTGGTGCTGCCCTGCCCGGCTCGGCCTGCCTGTCTGCTGCTGCGTGGTCCTCGCTCCCTCGCTTGCCCCACTGCCGTCTGGGGGCCACAAAAGGGCTCTTGGAACACTTAATGTTTAACTAATAAAAAGCCCTCTCATCTTGAAAGATGAGAGAAATATACAACTAACAGAACTGCTAATCTGCAAACCTCTGCTGGAGAGACACCCTCCACCGCCGTGCACCTGTCTGTCCAAGGGTCCTGAGGGGCTGTGCCCTTAGAGGGCTGGACACGTCAGGCGCAGAGCCCCTGCCCGAGGTGCAGAGGGTATCGGCCACACCCGCCTTCTTGGGGGCTATGTTTGGTGTTGGCAGCATCATACTGCCAAGATCAAAACAACGGAGATTCCTTTCTAATTCTGGCCACGCACTCTTGTAGCTGAGTGGGCCAGGTGAGGCAGAGCAGCAGCCCTGAACACGCAGCCACTCCTGGAAGCCCACCAGGATGCATCCTCTCTGGCCACCCAGCAGGATGAGGGGTGCTGACTCAAACCCACAGGATCTTGTCCAGCCCAGGCACTGGGGGTCTTCAGGGAACAGATGCATTTATAGGCTTTGCAAGACCAAAAGGCTGGGGTTATCCAGAGGTGGGGGCCTGAGGGCACAAAGCCCCGCAGATGTGGGATGCACATACCCAGGTCTCTCCTTGAGACTGGGAGAGAGGAGAAGAAGGGACCGTATGATCAGCAGGCAGGGCCTGGATGCTGTGTTTAGTGACATGGGAAAAAGAAAAGGCTGTGCCTGCGATGCAGACACCCAGCGCACAAAAATGTGATTTGTAAAGCAGATGAAGGAATCAATGCCTCATTTAACAAGGATTTGCTACAAAGTGCCATCAAATTACAGGCATCCAAATGCACTTTGGCCTCCTGGGCACACCGATAGTAACACTGGACCCAGGCTGCCCTGCGTGGGTTGTTGCTGGGAAACAGTCGTGCAAAGGACTCTAAGTATGTTCAGTGTCAGGAATTTATGAGAGGTGTCTGCTGTTTAAACTACCCGGCAGACCTGACTTCATCACCCCATCCATCCAGCTCAGGTCAACTTTTCTGACAGAGTCCCTGTCATTTTAAATCCATCAAAGGTCTTGACATGGGCCATGCTGGCCTTCCACGTTAGCCCCCTTAGGGAGTGACCAGCGGATGGACAGTGATGCAGGTTGTGACTACTGAGTCATTTGTTGAAGTTATCACTGTCTTGGGACCCCTGGGGGAAGCACAGCAGGACCTGCCTTCCTGGTCTTCCCTGCTAGGGGCTCCTCAGAGCAGTTGTCTTGTAAGGAGGAGGGAGGAGGTAAGTGGGTGCAGGGGAGCACCCCAGCCACAGGTGGGTTCTGGCCCATGGGACTCTAGAGAGAAGGGGACAGGTGGAACTGGAGGCTGAACATTAATTTTCTTAGCACTGCCCACAAGCCCCTGTGACATCCCTATGGGTGCCTGGGTCTGGGTGCCCCATGTGCAGCCGCTTACGGGGAGGGGAGTTCCGGCTGGGGTGTGCAGGACCAGCCCTCAGCCCCGTGAGGGAGCTGCCGTGGCAGCGGCTGCAGAGAAGCAGGTCCTTGGCCAGCTGGTGTCTTTGTCTGAGGGTGGCACCCCGGCCTAGCTTCTCCACTGAAGTCCTCACCTTGCAGGTGGTTAAGCTGGAGCTAGACTTCTATGATCACATCCCGCAGACTGGGACCTGGCTCAGAAAGGACCAGACAGCCAATGGGCAGCATCTCAAAGCCACAAAATCTGCCGGTCAGAAACCAGCCAACCAAAAGGTCTACTCAAATGGGCGTGGAGTGGTCAGGAGGGCTCTGACTTATTCCGGTTCCTGGTAGCTCCTGAAGACCAGCGCTCTGGCTGAGCTAGGACCACAGTGGTCACCCCACTAGTGGGGCTGTTGTTCAAGTACCCTTTAACCTCTGGGCATTTCCTTCTCCTCACAGGTGACTGCAGATCCCGGCCCCCCTTCTTGGGGCGTCAGCAACATCAGCTGAGACAAACAGCAGCTGGTGTAGGCTTCACTGCTCCCTGTCCAGGGAGGGAGCTGGGGCTCTTTCCCCAGCCTCCTTCCTTCTGGGATAATACAAGGAAGGAAAAACACACTATCTTATTTCCTTCTCTCCTAAAGGCTTGATCCCCACCCCCCAAGAAAAAGCAAAGGAAGCACAGCTTTTTCAGCCAAGGATGCTAAGAGGCATAAATTAACATTTGCAAGAATGTGCTGGAAGGAAGGCTACTGGGACAGACCCAGTGCTAATTAACTCCATGAGGCCATTCCATTCTGTGTGATAAAAAAAGTAATACAATCTTGTGGGGAAAAGGGTAGGCTTCCTCTGAACTTCAAAAGAAAGAAATACAGCAACACACTTCAGAGCCAGAGAGAACTTGAGAGCTGCTCACCTCCTCTCAAGCTAAAATCCCACAACAGGGCTGCCTTGCCTGAGCTCGGTGTGGCATGTCATTGGGGCCCTGGTACCCTCTCCATGCCCTGCAGTGTCTGCTCTGGCATGGAGGGAGCTCTGGTGCCCAGTGCCCACTCGCTGCCACCGTGGAGGCCAGGTACCTGGTTCCTCTAATTAATGGTCATAGATTCACTACTCATCTCCCCCATCCCACGAGGGCACTTGTTTCTCTGAATTAACCACTGTGTCTGGCCACGATAGGAAAAGGGTTCTGAATGTTCAGTGCCCTCATACTAACTCGGGCCCACCGATGAGTAACAAAGGAGCTCAGGTACATGTCAATTGAGCTAAGGGATGTGCTTTGACACCAGGATGGTTTAGGGGTGAAAGCCAAGCTAAGCACTTTGGAAAATGCCTGGCACACAGATGGAGCTCAGCAAATGTCTTCTGTCTGGACATGAACACAGCTCCTTGCAGCCAAGCAGGGAGTGGGCCTTTGCTGTCTAGCACCTCAGAGCTGGGCACCTTGTGTGGTCAGTCACTCGGGACTGCAGGAAGACAGTGCAGGTGGTCAGGGGGCTTGCAGAGGGCAGGGCCTATCTGATCCATCCCAAGCATTTCACCCCACCCTGGGGGGAGTGAGTCAAGAGCTGCTCCCGGGAACTCAGCCACTCAGGACAGCTATTAGGGACCACTGCTTCTCTGGTAGATGGTGGCTCTCGTTTGTACCCAGGACCCAGAACAAATGGCTCTGGTACTGTTCAGATCCTGGCCCATTGCCAGGCACTGTGGGGGAGCCAGCCCTGGAAATAGGTACAGTTGGGGGCTCTGCTGAGGTCCAGCTTTGTAGGGTGGGTTTATGGGCCCAGAGCTCTGAGCCCAGGCGACCATGTTTTGGGGAGCTTAAAGAGCTCTGAAAGTTCCTCTCAAGAACATTAGGGATGTGCCTTGCAAGTGAGGGGCCCAAGACTCTGTTCACGGGGCCCTGAGGTAGCGGCCAGAACTCTGCTGCAAAGGGCGACCCGTCAGTGGAGGCCACAAGTTACAGTTGGTCTCCTTTCCAGGAGCCAGCTGTGTGGAGTCACCACACGCCGGGCGAGCAGGAGTGCCACCCTCACCTTGGGAGACACAGGCCAAGTTCCTGAGAGCCTCTGGCCACATCTTGTCAACCAGTCCGGGGACCTCATTTCATGTGTGTTTCTGTTTAAGGACCACCTGTTTAGGAGATGTGGGGCTCAGAACCTCACTCCTGCCTGCATGATGCCTGTGACAGATGGGGTTCCAGTGAGGTCCCTCGAGGCATAAGAACCTCACTCCTGCCTGCATGATGCCTGTGACAGATGGGGTTCCAGCGAGGTCCCTCAAGGCATAACTAACTCACGGGGTTCCCTGTGAGGTCCACCACGGCCTCCTGCACTTAGAGACACTTCAGCTCTATGGAGGCCTGTTTCAGCAGCAAAACCACCAACAAAAACCACAAAAAATATGGAAAATGAATCATTAAATGTACCACAGGAAGGATTCCTATTTTGACCTGAGAGCTGAGATGGGAGCCGAGCACTGCCTCGTCCCACCTCTGTGGGGGACACGCCCAGCAGGCAGCTCAGTAGCTCTGTCCTGTGTCCTGGAGTAACTGCAAACATGCTGACGGTGTTGGTCTGAGGAAACAAACCAACCATGGTGAGCAGGAGGCTCTGGGTGGACACGGTCTGAGAGCCTGGGCAACTCTGGAGGAGACCGGCTCTGCCCGCCGGTCAAGACATGGACAGCCCTGGGAGGGAAGCTGCTCCTGGTGTACCCGATGTGAGTGGTGGTGGTGGTGGAAAAGTGGGCACCCTGGGGTGCTGGAGAGCTGGAAAGGCCCTCTGGACAGGGTGGGGTCGGCACATGGCTGTGGGAAGATTGCGAGTAGCTTTATGGGGAGCAGAACCACTCCCGCCGGGCCACAGGGGTGGGGGCTGTGGGTGCCCGGCCGGTGCCCAGCAGGGTGCAGCCCTCACCATTGCTGGCCCGCTGCTTGATGGTCAGCATCTGCTCGCCCGACAGCTTCGCCTTCTTCATCGCCGACGTGGCTCTTGGGCATCCGGATAAGCTGGGGAGACAGGAGAAGCTGTGAGCCCCAGCAGCAGACAGACAGTCAGAGGTGGGACAGCAGATAGCACACTTTCCTTTGACTGATGCGCATCGTGTGGGCAGCTGTGTACAAACGAGGGTGAACATGTATGTGCGTGTGTGCACGCGTGTGCACTGGACCACCTGGTGTGGACTGATGGGGGAACACGACTGGGTTGGAGGGGAGGGGGGCTCACAAGCTGAGCCTCTGAGGGGAGGGGACCCACTGTCATGATACCACGTATAGCCATGGGGGCTTTCATGCAGTCACCATGCTGCATGGAAACTTCTTTGTAAGGGAGACCATCAAGCTTTCGCAAGGTTGAATTTAACACTTAACTTCAGACATGAAGAAGCAGAGCAGAATACAGCATTCCCCGAGACACAAACATCTGTCGGATGTGCGAGTTGCACGGAGGCTATTACAGGTCACACGTAAATGTACATGGTCCAACTTACCAACACATTCAGCTGAAGAACAGTCCTGCAGAACGTGTCTGATTCATTACCTGGGACTGCCCTTGACTAACTTGGCCCCAGGCTCCAGCATTGTGGCTCCCAGCAAGTCCTGACCGACCCTTCCCAACGGATCATTTTGGAGGGAATCAAGGGCAAGCACACAGCCACAACATCCTGGCCTCACCTAATTTCTAGGCCAGGTGGCTGATGTCCCCACTAACCAGTGTGCTCTGAAACCTCCGGTGTTCCCTGAGGCTTCTACCCTTGGTGTATTTGCTTTAGGGTCCACTCGAGCCCCTGCGGCTGTGCTTGGTGAGGCTAGCGGAGGCCCCTCTTTCCCTTCTGGCTGTGCACTGGCTGATGTTCCTGTCCTCTGTCCTGAGCGCCTGCTCTGTGGAGCCTCATGCCTGGGCTTCCTCACACCACTCTGCTATGACCCAGACAGGCGGTCACAGCTGGGCCCTGGGCCGTCTGGGGCAGGGGTCCTCAAACTTTTTAAACAGGGGCCATTTCACCGTCCTGCAGACCACTGGAGGGCTGGACTGCAAGCTCCAGGATGAGTCAGCTGCTAAGCAGGACAGGCAGCGGCGGCAAAAACACCTGGCAGGCCGGATAAATGTCTGTAGTTTGAGGACACCTGGTCTGGGGCTTAATATACTGGTGAGACGAAAACGTCTATAGACGTGATATTGTGAATATAAAATTTTGGATTTCACCAGTATATTAAGTACTAGAAAAACGCTGGGTGTTGCAATGGTGTGTCCACCTAGCACTCTGTAATAACACAGGCAGATCACGTGACCATCCGAAATAACTCCTAATGTCCACGTTAATATTACAAAGCTTTCCAAATACCTCTTCAGACAAAATTTTGTAATACATTTTCTGATGGGGCTGTCAGTGGTCATGTCTGAGGAAATCACATCTTTATGTAACAGTATTTCCTTGTCCTTTGTGCCAAAAATCTAAGTTGTCTGTTTGACATGACATTTGCGTCTGGTGACGACATTAAAATATCCACACAATTCTGAGAATCACGGGCTCCTCAGAGGTCCTGCTGCCTGCGAGCCATCACTGTGTGCACCTGGCGGGTGTCCTCTCCTCACCCAGCTCTGCAGAAGCTCCCTCCCCCCCCCCAAGTGTCGTCTTGCACCCGCTCATGTAAAATGCCAGGGGTATTTGCAGATTGAATGTCTTCATTAGAAATGCTCACCATAGAAGACAGGAAATACTGACACCATGTAATCCGTATTTTCTTCACAATTTGGCTTCTGCAGAAATCTTTCCCTGAGCCCACCTCTTTGGGAGCACACGACTTCCTACGCTCGTCTATTATGAGTCCGGCTGTCAACGGTTCAAAGCACATGCCCAGTGGTGGGGGGCCCTTTAGGGAGACCTTATGACCTTTCTCGTATGGTGACTAAAGCCTTCCTGAAGTATCAGGGCCCTGAGGAGCAGTGGGGTGAAGGGCAGGGCCTCCTGACAGTTGTTCTGTGTGGATTGGGGGTTCTTACTTTGCAGAACCTGGAGACTTCGGGGGAGCCGAGGGAAGCTTTGCAGTCCGATTTGTGGTTCGAGTTCTGGATTCATCATTGACTCTGTTTGGCGCTTGGTGTTTTTTTATTTGTGAGATGGAAATTAAAAAAATGCACAAAACCCTGCCTTAGCAGGGCATTTTGAATACTGAGTATAGAAAAAGGATGTTAAATGATAACACAGGGCAGATATGAGGTTAGCCACGCCTGCAGAGAACAGGCCTGAGTGCACTATGGGATCACACACCAGCAGGCTCCATGTTCCCAGGACAGCTTCTCTGAGGGACACAGGAATCATGCACCAGCAGGCTCCATGTCCCCAGGACAGCTTCTCTGAGGGACACAGGAATCACACACCAGCAGGCTCCATGTTCCCAGGACAGCTTCTCTGAGGGACACCAGCAGGCTCCATGTTCCCAGGACAGCCTCTCTGAGGGACACAGGAATCATGCACCAGCAGGCTCCATGTCCCCGGGACAGCCTCTCTGAGGGATGCAGGTGACAGCAGGAGTTCAGGTCTCTCTGCAGCTGGGCCTGGTGCCCTGGGAGTGGCTATGCCCGGTGGACACTCCCTCTGCCGTCCTCTCTCTGTCCTCAGGGTCTCTCCCCGCCCCAGCCCCAGGCTGCTCTCATTTTGCTCAGCAGCTCTCTCCTCATCACACTGTCAGCTCCGTCCCTGACCCTCTGCCTTGGGCTGGGTGGTGCCAGCCCAGTCAGAACTCACTCTAGGTCTGTGGTGTGAACAAAAGTAAGGGCAGGCAGAGTCCAGGCTCTATACGGTTGGAAAACAGGAGCATCTGGGGTTTCTAAGATACTTTCTGGCCTGACTCTGCAGGGGGAGGCACATATACCTTGTTCCTGGGGCTCCCCCCCAGGTGACCCTTGGGACACCCCTCCTGCTTTGGCACCCTGTGCCTAGAGCTCCTGGCCACACACAGAGCTGCCAGGACAGTCTTGTGGCTGCTGCGTTCACCTCTCTTCTTCCCCTGTTCTGTCTTTTCAAGTTTATAAGCATTTCTTTGTTCTTCCTTGCACATCCTCCAACTTGCCCCAGCCCCTCGCAGCCTGGGGCAGCTCCCACCGCTTTCCCACGGTGGACTGAGAGCAGCTCCAAGTGTCCTGTGCCCACGGTGGACAAAGAGGGGATTGAGGTGCCTGCGTCCAGAGTGGATGGAAATGGGCTTTAGGAGTCCTGTGCCCACGGTGGGCTACAGGTGTCCCGTGCCCAGGCTCGATGGAGAGGGACTCCAGGTGTCTGTGCCCAGGCTGGACAGAGAGGGACTCCAGGTGTTGTGCCCAGAGTGGATGGAGAGGGACTCCAGGTGTCTGTGCCCATGATGGACAGAGAGGGACTCCAGGTGTCTGTGC